GGAAGAAGCTAAAATTTCTCCAAAATAGCTTAACCGTATGGAGTTGGAGAAAAAATAGGGATTACTTCCCCATTTTAGAGGCCCAATGAATTGTTGCCATTGATTTTGTAATTTTGGACGGATGAGATGAATTTGTATTTTGTATCGGAAGCATGCTTTGCATCCGATCTCAACCCTAGCTATATACATATGCGTGTGTGGAAAAGATTTAGAAAGATATGATGACGGAAAAAATCACTCCATTTGTCAATAAAAAACATGCATACTCTAATTGTTTTTTTCCGCAGTGTAAGTGTGTAACTTCAATTATTTGAGTTGTATAATAATGGATTAACAATCAACGATGACGGTACTATTTTCCTAGGACTATATGTGCTAATTAAGCATGTATTCATACGATAAAAAAACATGTATTCATATACTCAGTCAAGAATTCTACTTTGATAATATTAGACCCCCCGTCCCCTTAAAGATTTACAATCTTTGAATTTTCTCGTCAACAAATTAATTTCGACTTTAATTTGATCAATGATATTTTTTGTAAAAAAATATTCATAATACAAAAATGGTGTGAAAATGTTCTTTGTTAGACATACTTTTCATGGAATTATAAAACTTATGACCATGGTCGGATCTAGGGGGCAACCTAGGCTATGGCCAATCACAAATTTAAAAAATGTCTTAATTTTTAAGCTAAAAAATTCCTAGTAAAAAATTTCCAACAATTTTTTTTGTACGGGCTTAGTCCGGACCAATACCGTGGCTCGGTCCCTGATTATGACACTCATTATCATGTCTAGAACTCGTGCATCAATTTTATCATATTCAATTTACATTTTTGCGCTTTGAGTAAAGTTTCAATATCATTATGTTCACATATTTACTTTTGAATTAGTGATACTAAAATCAATATCGAGAAAGAAGAGTCAACGTTATCCTCAATCAAATCCAATAAAACTGCGTTGGTCGTATAAATGACATCAATTTGACAAGCATGTAGTGTTACAGAAATGAAAGTCAAAACTTGTTGCTTGATGTGCCTGGCAAGACATTCCCACATGCATATTCCCCGTTCCTGAAACAATTTCTCAGTTTCCTTATTTGGATGTCCCTAATTTAACTTCTTATATTCTTAAATGGCAAGTTATGTACATCTAAACAATGTCAACATTGCAAAACAGTGTCAAACAATGTCAAATAGATTCAAAACAGTGTCACAACAGTATAATTTACACTCTGGTAAGTTTATTTTCTTAATATGTGTGTAGGTCAAATCGGGAAGTTGTTTCGGGGACGGAGAAAGTAATAAATAATGGATACACTGAATTGGCGGGCAAACAGAGAGAATGGCCCTGCAACTATCCGGTAGGTGATTTTGTACGTATATGTAAGGTGGGCTAGTGGTGTTGAGACTGATCATGTGGGAATTGAACCTTAAATTCACAAATGACATATTGTTGTAAAATTTAGGAATTGACAAGTGTCAATTTTTCATCCTTGTCACTAGGACCCCAAGCTTTTCGTGATCCTTGTAATGATTCCTTTCATCTAGTTAGAACAGGTGGTTCAATTTGCTATTGTCACCAAATCTGTAGACTCATCAATTAAGTGACTCATCATCAATCTCAACCAGTATAAATAGTGGCTTGATGAGGTCTTGTAAACTCATTCTGAAATTTAGATATCAAGAAGAAGTAATTTAAAGCTTAATATATCTATCTCTTAAATTTATTCTGCATCTTCTTCATTTCACAACACGTTATTAGCACGAATCAGCTCAAACTCTCCAAGAAGTCATCATCCTGCAGGTATGAATTCCATAAATTCCTATTAATCTTCCTGACTGGTGGGCGTAACTCAACTGGTAGCGAGGGAGTGCCACATGAGAGGTTACAATGCTAAAAATGCATAGGGCCTCTGCAAGTACCGGGGACGGAGCCTCACTGTCTATCTGTCAGATTGTGATTATAATCCAATTTACATCCCCATCGTGTCATCCGGTCGGTGTTGGAGGGTCCTTAGGGATGATGTGTCATCCTTTTAAACGAAAACATAATCTTATATATGTACATACCTTTAAAATATACTCGTATCAACTTCAATGTGGATACTCTCCGCGTTCGTACAAGAAGAAGAAATTTGTAATACTTTATTACTCCGTGATAAGAAGTACGGAGAATGTAAAATAATAAGGTGAAAACTAAATTAGAAAAGTTCTGACTAGATATGTCCGTAATAAAGATAGTGGCAGACCCAGAAAATTATCTTGTAAGAGTGGCAATTTAAACAAAACAAAAATTTAGGGGGCGAAAATTATTTTTTGTATATATATACACTAAAAAAATTGTTAGAGCGACGGTAGCCCCTGGGTCTCTACTACAGTCCGCCCCTGACTAAAGAAGAGGAGAGGAATAAACTGTCAGATAATGGCCTTGTTTGGTAAATGGCTGTTAGCTGGTTGTGTCAGCTGTTTCCTAACAGCTGGTTGTGTTAGCTGTTTTGACTGGCTGGTTATGTTAGCTGATTATAAATAACTGTTTGGTAAAATTGGTTGTTTCGAAACGGCTGATAGAATGTAAAAAGACATACTAATACTCATTGTATTTTATTATTGCTAAGAATGAAAACTTTATAAGTATTGTTACTTCAACGATATAAATCATTTTTATAATTGGAAATTTTAAAATTTGTTGAATAAAATCTATTTTAATATCTACTCATCATATTACAAAAATTTATAATATCTAATTTTATAACCACTCAATCATCTAAACCAAAAACATCAAATTAATTCAAGATAGAGAGCATAACTAATAATATAAAATATTAGTTAAGCATATATTATTTGTCTAGATAGTACTACGTATTTGATTAAACAAGTTTTGTTTAAAATAATTAGAGTATATATAGTACATATTACTTAAATGATTAATTTAAAAAATGCTAACTCAAAACAATGAAAGCAAAAGGAGTGAAAAGAAGAAAAAACTGATAAGCAAAATAATAGGGTTGACTAAGTTAAAAAAACAAGCAAAATCACAATGAGAATAAATTGGAGCTATATGCAGTCACTTTGGGAACTTCGAGCTATACCATTATGGGAATAAATTGAACCAGCCGAATGAAGAAGTTGCTCCCCTTAGCTTCTTCAATCATCCATTTTTTCAGCTTTCTAAACTCAACGAGCTAATTTTAAAAGCCATTTACTAAACATTATTATTAGCTTCTTTGACTAATCAAACAGCTGAAATGGGTCAAACAAGCTAAAAGCTGGCTGATAAGCCATTTGCCAAACATACCCAATAATTTATGCAGTAGTGCGGTAGCTTTATACATAGTACTAGCTTCGTCCCAAATTGATCTACAAATTTGACTTTTCTTGGTCAAACAATTTCGTTTTATTTGCTTAATTAGGATGTCATTTTTTAATTATATTGTAATTCGGAGTTTGCAACTTTGAAGAGATTTTAATGTAGTTTCGGGATATGTAAATTTTAATTATTAAAAATTGAGTTAATTATCGATAGAGAAGATTGACTTTTATTATTGGTTGATCAAAAAATGTTAATTTTGCAAAAAATTTGAGACGGAGTATTATAATGATGTTCGGTTAGCTACTCGCTAAATATATACGAAGAAGCTGTATACATAGTCATGGGCATACAAATGAACAAAATGATTCCCTGCAATAGCCAGTAGGTTGTACACTTGTACCCATGGTCTGTTTGCAACAGCTTCTGCTTTTTAAAAAATGTTTTTTTAATGAAATGGGGAGAAGTGATTAAATAAAAGTTGATAGTGTTTGAGAAAAAAGTGATTTTGAAAAGTAAAAGTGGGTAGTGTTTGGTAAAATAAGTGTTTTTTGTGTAATAGAAAAAGTAAAAGCACTTTTGACGCGGAAGCCGAGAAAAATAAAAGTTGTAGTGTTTGGGAAAATAAGTGCTTTTTTAAAGTCAAAAACTGAGAAGTGCATTTTTAAAAGCAGTTACAAAGAGACCCTCAGTCTACATAAATTTGTCTTGCCTCACATTAATACTACGTAGCAGCAGAAGTCACGGGAGGAACATAGCAATTTTTTTATAAGGCCAGGCTAGGTGTTGTTCACGGGTTTTTCATACCTGACAAAGTTACTTATGTTCTACGTAGTACTATCGGATGACATTATTTTGTCCTTGTCATGCTTTCAATTTGAATATACCTCAACCCCTTAAAACTTTAATTGTCAAAGTTGACCGGCGCGGAGAATAATAGAGTAAAAACTGTGTGGTTGAAGTTTGTGTAGATGAGAGAGAAATAACAAAAATCACAAAATAATTGATAAAAAGGGAAATATGGTAAAGTTTGAAACCCTTCTTCTTGTTTGGGAGTAACAAGTTTGAAAAAATAAATGTTTTGGATGAATTATAATTAAAATCACTTCACATATATATATGACGAATTCAAATAATTGAGTTTTTATTTGTTTAAAATTGAGCTAAAGTTGTCATACAATTAGTTATCCTTCAAAATCTCCCGATTTGGGAGGACTTGAAAATTGAGCATTTGAAAGGTTTTGGGGGATTACAAAAGCCCTCCAAAATCATCCCCTCTGTATTTTTTCCCCCAAACATGAAAGGGAGGGTTATAAACCCTTGTCAACTATCCCCTCCAAAACCTAACTATGTAAAAGTAAACACTTTGCGTGTAAAGTGTGAGGATGCAAACATTTTACACTGTTTGTCTTAATTATTTAATGTAAACTGTAGATCAATTTTTTTAAAACATTTTATATTGTATCATGTAAAATATTTTAACTGGGGAGGTGGTGGTACTAGTTTACATCCATGGGCGGAGCTAGGGGTGGGCCAAGCTAGGCCATGGCCCACCCCAAATTTTAAAAATGGCTTAATTTTTAAGGTAAAAAATTCGTCTAATTTTTTTTAAAAAATATTCTTTATACTGGTCCAATATGGTCGAGTGCTCTGTCCCTATTTACACCCCGTACACTGAGAATAAATATGCGGCAATCCAAAAATCCTCTATGTTGCTCAAAATCTCTGGTGAGGCTGGTCAGCAGTTTACGTTGATCTGCACTCTATTCAGGTTAGCCTCTACAATGCACTCTTTTGTTGACGAGAGGGAAATGGATTTTATCCCATATTCTCATCATCCCATGAATGTATCCTATCATACTATCATTATTGTTGATATAATAAATACATACATCCCATGCTATTCTCGCTGCTAGCAGTTAGCATGCACGTTAATTTGCTTGATATTGATCGGGTTCAGCCGTTTAGCTTCCAAGGTGTTCCTGGGCCGCAATAACAAGAATTCATTCGCCATTTTGTTTGAATAAAGACCAATTAATCCAAATTGAAGCCTGAGCCATGCTTAATTACAAATATATTCATCATTTGGCCTTAACTGAATGTCACGTTTTATCACTGTGTTTTGTCACACATCCCCCACTTTTTTTAACTAGTAACATAAACAGAATTTTAAAATACGTAGAATAAAATAAAAACATTATTGATTTAAGGGAAAATCACATTTTTGATCCCTCAATTAGTAACCAATTTGAAATGTCACTCTTATGTTTTAAATCCCCTAATCGTCCAAATTTTTGTAAATGTCATCCTCGCATTTACACAGGCAATGACGATATTTACAATTGACTGATCACATTTAAAATACTACTGAGTAAAATATACGGAATGACATTTCAATTTAGAACTCGACCGAAATTGAACCAACCAAAACCAATCGAACCAGACTGAAGTAGACCGAAATTGACTAACTCAGTGGCGGTTTGGTTTATGATTCATACTTTTGGATTAAAAATCCAACCAAACTGAAATTGACGGACATAAATCGACTGAAATTGGTACAAACCGACTGAAACCGACTTAAATTATGTCGTCTGGTTCTAGACTTCATATGATTTAAAAGTGGAACAGTACCGACTGACAAAAACTGAATACATAAAACTGAAACTGATAAAACTGAACCGATGAACACACCTACCCGATTGTACAATGCTCACCTTATAACCGAATATTTTATAATTAATCGGATGGCATTTAGATGCTACTACGTACGTAGTATTAGTTTGTTATTCCTTTACTTTTTCCCAACGTCCAACCTTTTCCAAACTCCCCATTATAGATGCTTTCTACTTATCCTCTTCTTTCCTTTTTCTTTCCTCTTATGTCACCAACTTTAATTTAAATTAGGAGGCGATTAAGGAGCATCTATGTAGCATGTGACGAGTATTTATCCCAAACAGCCAAATTAAGAAACGCCAAAAAATATAGCGTTTACTTCTTGGCCGATCGAATAACTATCCGATGTTCCTTTTCTACCCACCCTGCCTCCCTTCTTTTGTGCTGGCAGCTGGTCCCTTCGCTTCCACTCCTCCAAATCCCACATTCCCACGACCAAAAGAAAAAATCAGCGTGAAACTCTGCCAAGGTAACCGACTTTCACCTTCTCCGTCTTCCACATCGTCACATCTCCTACGACAAATTAACTATACGACTTTTCCTTTCAAGGTATTAAACGAGCAATATATATAATATATATTCCGTCTGAATTCTGAACCTAAAGCTACTAGTATAATGTTTGTACATCGTTGGTATGCATTGTGGGTTTTCAAGAATTTAATTGTCTAGTCAAAGGAGAAAAGTAATTTTTGTTACTTGTGTTAATAAAATATTAATTTTTTATTAAATAAAGTTGTTGACTAATAACATTAGCTATACGTGTAATACATATGTATAAGTGGTTAGTAATAAAAAAAATCAATCGATGTCCTTAAACGTCATTCAACAAGTTATTAGCTGATTACAAACAGCTATTCAACCAAACACAGTTCTATAAAGAGTTAATACTAGCAGCTAATCAAAACAGCTAACAGAATCTGATGTCACCAATCAGCCAATATAATCGGCCAACAACTAACAGCCAATTGCCAAACACCCTCATTGTAATATTGTACAAGTAATAACATTGTAAGACTCTTACAGATACGTTTCGTTGTATTTTAGATCCTATTGGCAAGTGTCACTTGCTTAATCTGCCCTCTATATTCACGAATCACGAATGCATAATTAAGTATGGACTATGTTTCTAGTTGCATTACAATTTTTTGGTAATTGATCTGTTTAATTCTAATGGGAAATTTATCAATTTTAGACCTAAAAGTTGAGTTTACTATCAATTTTGAACCTAAAAGATATTTGTTCTCATTAAGGGACCTAAAAGATCGTAATCTATCGCCACAAGACCTAATGAATTAACACCGTTAATTTTCTTTTAACGGAATCTGACATGACCCCACGCAGACCCAAGATATACCTCATGTTGTATACTCCGTGTTATCGGCAGCCACCCGTTTCTCTCCATGTTTTGTTTCAGAAAAATGCTAAAGGTACCCCAATTGGTACCCCCAATTTGTACCCCCACCCTATTTTTGTGGCTCACAAAAGCACCTCATTAAAGTGGGGCAATTCATTTATTGAGGTGGGCTTTTGTGAGCCACAAAAAAAAAATTGGGGTACAAATTGGAGTACTAATTGGGGTTACCTATAGTAGGGTTGTTTATTTCATCCATACTTTTCGTACTGTTGTTGTCTTTAATTTCATCCAGACTCTCCGTTCTTCTTCAGCATCCATATTCCAGCGGCACTTCAACAACTTTATCTTGTCTTTAACTTTATCTTTACTTCCAAAAACTTCAACAAAACTCCTCCACTCCCAGCCGCACTTCCTCATCTCCCCTCCCAGCCGCAGCTCTTCAATCTTCATCTTCCTCTCTTCTGCCGCCTCAACTTCGTTTTACCATGCATGGTGTCGTTTTACCATAGAATGGAGTAGCCATGAAAGGGTTAACAAGATAGGTAAATTTTAACACTAAACCTTGAGAAACTTTTCGTATTTCGTGTATCATTACTAATTGGAGACTTTTAATCTTTTTCTTTCTTTTTTTTGACTTTTTTTTTAACTAAAATCGAAGGAACAAAAATCATGGAAAATAAGACAAATTAGTACGGAACCTCACTAGCCGCCGATAACACGAGTACCAACGCCGGCGAGAATGGTGTGTCTGCTTTGAATCCTCTCGATTTTCGGGTGGAAGCTCAGGTGCTTTCTTAATAGCAGCATCCGACAAAGAGCGACCGAGTTGGTATTCGGCAGGGGACGGAGATAGAGATGCAAGTGGTAGGGCAGATAACATCGGCGAGCAAAAAACTTAACGGTGTTAATTCATTAGGTCTTGTGGCCAGAGATTACCATCTTTTAGGTCCCTTAATGAGAATAAATATCTTTTAGGTCCAAAATTGATAGTAAACTCAACTTTCAGGTCTAAAATTGATAAATTTCCCAGAGGGAATTTGGGTTGCTTGTAAGGGGGAAAGTTTGATTGATATAGTATAATCAGTTTCCTTTCAAAAAAATTGGACGTTCTTTTAGTCGAGGGCCTAACTGACTATTTTGATATACTACGAGGGGTTATTTGACAGTTTCCGGCAAAATATAATGCTGCAGTAGTGATCCACTACCTCTCAAACGAAAAACTTCAAATTGGAGGAACAATTTCTCATTTATATGAGAAGTCATACTTCGTATTTAAGGTTTGTTTACTTGGCTTGTAAAATTATTGTATCGTGGAAGAATATAATACTACATTGTAGTCATCCACTACCTCTCATCCACTACGTAGAAAGTTTGGAGCGGGATGTGGCGCAAATTATACCAGTTATTATAGGGTGGACAAAAAACCGAAATCAAACCCGATCCAAATTGAGCCAACTAAAACCGGATCAACTGAAATAGACCCAAATTGACTAACCCTGTGGTGGTTCGGTTTATACATTGGGATTAAAAATCCAATCCAATTGAAACCGACAGACAAAAACTGACCGGAGTTGATACAACCCGACCAAAACCGACTCAAATTATGTCGTTCGGTTCTCGACTTCATATGATCTAAAAGTGGGACAGAACCGATCGACAAAACCCGAACCGATGAAAACACTCCTACTTGATTGTACATTGCTCATTGTACAACTAGGGATTTTATATTTTATAATTAATCACAATTCGAATGGCATTTAGATGGCATTTATATTCTTCCCTGCCTCCAACCTCCTCCAAGCTCCTTCTACATATGCTTCCTATTTCTCCTCCCTTTTTTCTTTTTATTTACTCTTGTGTCAGCAACTTTAATTTAACGGAAATTGTCCTAAATAGGACTAAAAAGTTCCTAAAAAGCACAAATAGGACTACTATTTTGAAAATTCCCTAAATAGGACTAAACATTGATTTTCTACCCTAAATACCCCTATGAGTATTAATTCATAATGAAATGCTTTAATTCATAATAAAATCACAAAAAACGTAAAAAAATATTTAAAAAACGTAAAAAAATTAAAAAAAAATTATAAAACATTTATAAAATAAAAAATTGAATTTTTTATTTTTTTAATTTTTTTAAAAAAATAATAAAAAATAGTAAAAACCCATAAAAAATGAAAAAAATTATGGATACCTTTCTCACCGCCTCCCGCCGCCTCCCAGCACCACCACCTCCGATTGGTGAAATTTCTTCCACTTTTGATAAAAAAATGCCATATTTTTCTGAAAATGCCAAAAAGATGGCATAATTACTCTTCAATATGCCAACATTTTCATTGATTATGCCATCATTATGGCATTATTTAAAATGTTGGCATATTTTTGTCCGGTGATGGGAGATGGTGGTGTTGGGGGTGGCAGGGGTGGTAATGTGTTTTTTTTAATTTTATGATTTATTTTATTTTATTTTTATTTTTTAAAATTTTTTTTTTATTTTTTTAAAAAAATATTTTTATTAATTTTCTATTATTTTTTTTACGATTTTTAGTATTTTTTTCGATTTTTATTAATTTTTTTATGATTTTATTATTAATTAAAACATTTCACAAGTTACAAGGGTATATTTGTCCAAACACACATAAATAGTCCTATTAAGGGAATTTAAAAAATGTAGTCCTATTTGTGCAATTTTTCCACTTTTTAGTCCTATTTAGGGAATTGACTCTTAATTTAAATCTAAAATTAACACTTCGTTCTGAATTCCAAAATGAATCAAATGAGATGATTTTTTTTTGCGAATAATAGTGCAACTTGTTAAAATTAACTTATAAGTATTGCATGTCCACCAAATATATGAAAATTTTCAAAGTCAATCTTCATTTTAAATGAAATATTTTATTGTTTGTTACACTCATATATAGGGTATGTTTGGCACAATTAGCTCAAAAAATACTTTTGTGGTTTTTTTAGTAATTTTTAGTGTTTAGTGTCTCGAAAGATTTTAAAAGAAAAAAGTCTTAGCTGTTTGATAAAAAAGTCAAAAGATGACTGCTTAATTTAGTTTTGTTTGACATAACAAGTTGTTGTGAGTCTTGTGACTAATTATTATTAAAGCTATACACTTTTCTCAGATGCTACTCATTATAGTTTCTCAAAAAAATAATTTATTTTTTAAAAATGCTCTTAAATATTGTTATTTCAAACATACAACTAGAAACTTGTATAATCTTTATACAAAAGCTAGAAAGTGTGGACTTTGTTATACAAACCTGCTCATTTCTTTGAAACGCCGTACTCATTTAAGTATATCATAAAGTGCATGTATATGATTCATATTATCATATATAATGATTCATTAAAAATCAATTTAATGTAATTATGTTCATAGGGGGTGCACACGGTTTCGCTCTGATACTATGTCAAGATTTGAGATTGCATTCTAAAAAGCCAACTTCATAGGAGAAGTGTCCCAACATCTTAATATAGCACTTCTTCATATATTATCAGTGTGAGACTTCAACAAAGAGTCTTTTGGTTCAAAAGTAAAACTTGTGTTCTACTCGTATAATAGTGTTAGTTTGTATAGTCCTATTAAAAATAAATGCAAATTTCCAAATTGAGTTTCAAGAAGATCTTCCGTTGTCACAATTGTTTGTTATATGTCCCTTTTAGTCAGCCATTTTTTTACCTTTTCCGTCAAAAATGTTAGAATTTAGCTGAAATAATATATATATATATATATATATATATGAAAGTATTTATAATATGAAAAATGATATGAAAGATGTTCTTTATTAAAAGTACTAACATAAAAACATAAAATTTATAAGTTTTACAAAAAAATGTTGTTAAAATGATCAACCAAAAATAGAGATAGTATTAAATTTGGTTCTATATCGCTGACGTTTTAAGACCAAATACTTTGACTTGAATTATTAACTTCATCACTCATTGAATATTGGTGTCATAAACATGTGATCAAATAATGATAATAATTATGATACTCCATCTGTCCCTAAAAGAAGTTCCATTTCGCTTATCGAGGGTCAACTTAAATCACTCTTAAACTCTTACTTTAAATATCAAAATTTTATAAAAGTTGAATTATTTTTTGCAAGCTTTTAGCGGGTTTAATGTAGTTTCTGAATATGTAAATTTTATTTACTAAAAATAATCTGAGTTTTCACAGGGATCATTTAACTTTATCGTCGGTCAGCCTTCGTAATCCGTAATTGGAACAACATTTAGGGACGGAGGGAGTATATTATTGTGGTCAAACATGTGACAAAACAATCCAACAAGAAGACAAGAAGTCGAAGACAACATGCAGTGACTATATGCACAGGCGTCACAATTAGAAGTACACATCAAGAAATAGTTATGAGGAGAGAAAATATTGATCAAATTGTTGAAGTTGGTGGTATTGATGAGGAGACGGTGAAGAAGAAGCCAATGACGGCAGCTAATAGGGACAGTGGTTGGGAGTCAAGATCGGCGGTGCCGATAGTAGCGATGGTTGTCGTGCAAGTGATATTGGCCGGATCACAAATTCTTACCAAATTGGCTATCAATAAGGGAAAGCAAGTATTTGCCATATTGACTTACCGTCACATGGCTGCCACACTTTGTATTGCCCCCTTGGCTTTCCTCTTTGACCGGTACGTTTCATCCCACACATACTAGAATATATATTTGGAAGTAATGACTTTGAGATTTTTCTTTGTTGGAATTTTATCAATCTCTGGGGCCTGAAAGATAGATGAATTATCATTCTGAGACTGGAAAATGAAATGTATTTATATATGACCCGAATTAGTGGTGGACTGAACCGGGCCGGTTCGGGCCTCGGTTCAGTAATAGCAGGCCCGAGCCCGAACCGGGGTAGGGCGGTCCCGGGTCCGGTTCCGGGCCGGACCGGGCCGGTTCGGGCCACCCGGTTTAATTTTTTTTTTCCTTTCTTCCCCCCCCCCACCCCCCCAAACCCCCCCCAAACCGGCCTAAACAGATAGCCCAAGCCCAACAGCCCAAAAAAATGAAAAAATTTTTTAAAAAAATAGATTTGGCCCAGACCCGGGCCCGAACCGGCCGGGCTGGGCCGTCAAACCCATGAACCGAGCCCGGAACCGCCCCACCCCCGGGCCTCCGGCCCGAACCGGACCCGGACCCGGAAAATCGGGCCGGGCCGGGCCCGCACAGTAGCGGGTCGGGCCGGTCCCGGGCCGGGCGGCCTGAACCGAGGCCATGCCTAACCCGAATGATGAAAAACTATCGAACTAGGACCTAACATTACATGGGTTTTGATTTATTCAATTTTTTATTAATTCATTTCTTAACAAAAGTTTATTAGTTTAATAAAACCAAATAATATATATATATATATGGTTACTTTTTAGATGGTCACAAGAATTCTAGAAATATTATTTGTTTCCTTTTTCCATATTAATTTCAATTAAGATTGATCTACTTCATCGAGCCACCATTTTGCGAGCATGCCAAGCCATCCCACATTCGCTAAGTATAAAGAATAAACCACATAAAATTTTAGTTAACTAACTCTCATTTGGACTAATCAATAAGAATGAAATCCTGAATCTTAAGAGCATCAACCCTGACTGGCTGCCAACTTCGTATACTAAGAGGTTGATGAAAAATTGTGACAAATTTTAGATTACTTGCTCACTTTTTGAGCACTCAATGGGACTTAGTGGGGGGCTTGGCTTCCCAATATTTTATGTTGTATATTACATGCGTGTATAAATATTTCTTCTATAAATATTTATTGATACACGATAACATTAGGGATGGGATTATTCTATTATGGTCTCAAGGATACAAGTGCAACTTATGCTACCAATTTTAGCAATTTAATTCCTATAGCGACCTTCTTTATTTTCTTTTTTGTTCAGTAAGTAAAAGTTTGTTAAGGAGATGGATGATATGTATTTTAAAATATATTCTTACATTTTCCCGATATTTATGTTCCATTTAAAGTACTTATTTTGATTTCCAATGTCCCTAGTTTCCATCTATGATCATGATATTTGTAATTGTGCATTTATTGTCAAACACATACTCAAATGACTATGTTATGACTCATAATTTGTAGGAATAATAGTCCGAAAAAATATACTTTGGTTTACATCTTCAGACTTTGTGTTCAAAAGCTAGACTTTGCCCCAAGATTGTGACTCATTGTTAAAGCTTATCAGGATCAAATTGCTCGTTATAGCTTAATCGGTTCTAATATAATGTTTGAGGTTCCCCCTAAAAGCTCAGCATGATAGTAGAGTAGTCCAAAGCAATGTATTTTGATTTCTATCTCTATGCTTAATTAACCAGTGTGAAATGATTTCGCACATACTCCATATAAGATTTCCATAGGGGATAAGGGCCAGTTTGGTCCTCGAAGTTGCAAAAAAGGGGTCAAATAAGTCCTTATATAGAAAATTCTGTCCGGACGTGCCATTTGAGGTGGCTCCCGGTGGAATTTTTTGATAAAATTTTTTGAGCATCTTATTCATTAAGTCTAGTTTACTCATACCAAATTTCAGATAAAAATTCAATCGGGAAGACATTCAAATGAATTCTCGAAGATAACTGTGCCGTTAAAAGCGCAGTTATCTTCAAGAATTCATTTGAATGTCTCCCCGATTGAATTTTTAGCTGAAATTTGGTATGAGTAAACTAGACTTAATGAATAAGATGCTCAAAAAAATTCATCAAAAAATTCTACCGGGAGCCACCTCAAATGGCACGTCCGGACAGAATCTTCTATATAAGGACTTATTTTACCCCTTTTTTGCAACTTCGAGGACCAAACTGACCCTTTACTCATTTCCATAGTATAATTTAACATCGCGGTATCATGTTTAATTAAAGTAAACAAAATTTGATTCTACATATCAAAATTGAGACTATAAATGGAAGAAATGTAGTGCTTAAATAAACAAGAGATAGTTCTTCTCCGTAAAAAACATCAACTAAATTTAAGGCCATGCAAAAACTCCATATTTAAAACTAAGATTTAGGCCACGTAAAATGCAAATATTTATAGTTTATGATACTTACTAAAAGAGATGTAGTGAAAATCCAAAAATCCATTTTCATATTTTCTAATATTCCATATACAAATACTCTTTGCTAGCTCCCCCTTTAGTGTTCTCTCATCAATCTGAACCAGCCTTCCTAAATAACGGATTCTAATAACAAAAAAAGTTATAAGTACTTTTTTATTATCAGCTAGGAGCTTTAACAAAATCTCCTGCTCTTCTTTTATTATCAAATAGCACTTTAATTATTTTCTTGTGATCACTATGACTACAGAATGGAGACTCTGAAATTGGACAGTCGATGGGGGCGATTTAAAATAGTAGGTGGATTCCTTTGTGTTGGAGAAGCTCTGGTTATTAGTATGTACTCCCTCCGTCCCAAAAACAACTTCCCACTTTCCTTAAATAGATGTCCCAAAATTAACTTCCCACTTCAATACTTTCCTTATTTGGCAAATTATCTACATCAAAAAAGTGATAAACAGTGCCAAACAGTGTTTAAACAGTGCCAAACAGTGTTTAAACAGTGCCAAACAGTGCACTCTACAGTAAAGTCAAATTTATTTCCTAAATATGTGTGTAGGTCAAACCGAGAGGTTGTTTTCGGGACGGAGGGAGTATAAGGGAATATCCTTGCCGTTCTTTCATCTAAACTCTCAACATTGGAGCGTGTCACCATTTTATTGGTTTCAAGTTGTCTCGGTTATGACATATGGTTTATTGCACAGGTATGATTTATACATAAAACTCACTCTTGTAGAAAATAATAAATAAAACTAATCAAAATCAAAACTACCCAATAAGATAAGTTATTTCAAAATTTGACTTCAATTTGCAATATAGCAACCATAGTCTATGGTGACACTAGTAGAAAACTGTCTTATAGTGACACTTCGTTAGTGACACTTTCTGATAAAGTGTCACTAATGGACGACATATAGTACTAACAGTGCATAAGTGTCGTACGTATATGACACAAAAACATCAACACATAATAGTGACACTAAATTAAAAAAAGTATTGAATTTTTTAACCTTAACAAATTTTCACTTTTCGTTTCCCTCCCAAAAATAAACCTCCCGCCATCTATTTTCGGTAATCCCACACCAAAACTTTCTCATCCACTTCTTTCTTTTAATCAAGTGACCGGTCAATTAACCCTTTCTTTCCTTACCCTTTTTTTCCTCTCTATGGATTAACCCTTCTTTCTTTCCTTACCCTTTTTTCCTCTCTATCGATTAACCCCTTCTTTCTCTCCTTACCCTTCTTTCCTCTCTATCGATTAACCCCATAGAACCCTAGATACACCGATGTCACTCGCTTCGATTAGCTTCTCTGCTGATTACCATCGCCGCTGCTGAAGGCTACGAAGAACACCACCGACGGCTCTCAATCGTCAGGTAGCTTGGGAAGAACTTCATCGGTACGGTCAATCGCCATCTTCTGCGAAGAACACCACCGACGGCTCTCAATCGTCAGGTAGCTCTTCTCCATCTGGTTTTTTTGTTTTGGTGTAGGGGGTGTGATAGGCCTAGGGGTTAGTTAGTTTCAGAATGACCTGAGGTTTAATCAAAAACCAATTTGGGGAATTTGAAAAAGAGATGTGTGCGTCTCTGTCCTTCGGTTAGGTTAGGATGGGGGTTATTTTTTCTCAACTTTTTTCTAACAACTTGTTGCAAAACCTTGTCAGTTCCAGAGATAACAATGGTAAAAAGAGCCTTATATGTGTTCAACCCTACAGCAAGAGACTCAATGTTGTAGCCTCTCCGGGCAAAAACTCCAGCTATTCTGTTAATTATACCACTTTCATCCCCAACGAACACTGAAATTGTATGACGCTTTGATCTGAGATAAAGTAAGTTAGAATTTTCGCCATATATATAAATACATATATGAACACATATACCATCTCAATCTAGAGAAAGTGAGCATCTTTTCTAGATTATCACATCATGACAACAACTCTAAAATACTCCAAAATGAAAATATAATTTCCTACATAAAAAGGGTATAGATACTTTTTCAATATTTCTAGTCCAGAGATAATACAATAGCCCCCCTCCCCTAGTAACTTCGACCCAATACAGCCCCAAACACAAAGGCTGCCAACTCGAGAACATGGGTTGGGCAGTTTAACTCAGCTTCTTTAATTTTTTTCCCGACTGCATTAATACATCCTAGTCCTCCTAGACTAGCATCATTGTATACTGAGTGAGGTTTGTACAGGTCAGTGACGTTGATAAGGTTTTGATGTTTATAAAAAGGGAAAATGAAGACAATAGTATTACTGGATTATTACTGCTTCAACATTCAAGAAGTACTTACCAAGATTGGATCTTTTTTCCATAAAAGCCTATCTATTATAGTTTCTAAAGTTATGTATATGTATGTCTATATATACGAAGTACTGGGTATGTGTGTGTTTTATATAGGCTATCTATTATACGAAATTTTTATTAATTTTTCATGCTAAGTTAACTTAAAATTTTCTATATACGAAAAATTTTAAGTTAACTGAAGTTACTTTTTCTTTCTACATATTTGTTGAACTTGGTCATTTTGAGATGAAAAATTGATCAACCCACACTTTTCTGGGATGACATATTTTGAAGGACTACATTTGTTTTGGGAGGGGAGTATGTTTACTTCAAAAAGTAAGAGTCTATAATACGATAGTGAAAACAAAAGGACTGCTTAAGTGATTTGTGATTTCACTTTGTGAGAGTCTATGATCTTCTCCCGCATAGACTCTACTATTTAAGTTGTTGTTTAATGCGATAGTAAATTCTTTTATTAAAAGCTGGTTGTTTTTGGATCTTATAAATGTTTTTCTTCATAGTGACAATTTCTTCTCAAAGTTGTGGATAAGCACTTTAATATTTGGATGAAACATACTGCTTTTAACGTTATACTATGTTAAAAGAAGCTCATTGTTTTTATCCTAAACCTACTACAGTTTCACTTTATAAGTTTTACTACAATTAATATCTCACCAAACTTAAGGAAGCATCTTTATCATCTACAATTTACAAATAGCAGTGAAAACAAAGATGGCTTGCAAGATCGATTTCTAAGAGAGTACTGTAAGTTTTTGTTTGATGAAGATTCTTTAAATTCAGTGGAAAATTCATTTGTTTTAACTATAAGTTTTTTCCTTACAAGTACTACATTATTAATACACTATCTATTTTAGCTATTAAATTCTTTTCATATAATTTGTAGAAGAAATCATCTAAGTATATCAGATAAACACAAACACTTCTTATGGCTTATAGAAAAGTACTACTTTTTTTAATGTAGTTTTCCTAATTTGCATTTCGATCAGGTGTTAAGGTTGAGATTGAGACTGTGGTTTTCTTAATTTGCAGAATCTCCAAAGGCTTCTTTTAAGATCTGATCTATGTATTGACTGTCCAGGCACGCACGGTCTACAAATATTTTTGTTTCTATAACTCCCTCAAGAGGTATGTTTCTGAAATTGTCTGGTGCTAAAAATTCAATACATTATATTGAAGTACTTCTATTATAGTTTCTAAAGTTATGTATATGTATGTCTGGTGCTTCTTTTAAGATGTGATCTTTTTTTCCATAAAAGCCTATCTATTATAGTTTCTAAAGTTATGTATATGTATGTCTATACATACGAAGTACTGGGTATGTGTATGTTTTATATAGGCTATCTATTATACGAAATTTTTATTAATTTTTCATGCTAAGTTAACTTAAAATTTTCTATATACGAAAAATTTTAAGTTAACTGAAGTTACCTTTTCTTTCTACATATTTGTTGAACTTGGTCATTTTGAGATGAAAAATTGATCAACCCACACTTTTCTGGGATGACATATTTTGAAGGACTACATTTGTTTTGGGAGGGAAGTATGTTTACTTCAAAAAGTAAGAGTCTATAATACGATAGTGAAAACAAAAGGACTGCTTAAGTGATTTGTGATTTCACTTTGTGAGAGTCTATGATCTTCTCCCGCATAGACTTTACTCTTTAAGTTGGTGTTTAATACGATAGTAGATTCTTTTATTAAAAGCTGGTTGTTTTTTGGATCTTATAAATGTTTTTCTTCATAGTGACAATTTCTTCTCAAAGTTGTGGATAAGCACTTTAATATTTGGATGAAACTTACTGCTTTTAACGTTATACTATGTTAAAAGAAGCTCACTGTTTTTATCCTAAACCTACTACAGTTTCACTTTATAATCATGACTGTATGTTTGTATATGATCAAAATGATTGCATAAGTAAACCTTTATGGTGCTCAAATTAAAATCCAGTCTAGCATGTACACTTGGGAAAACACATCTATTTTCGTAAAGTACTCAAGGCTCAATCCTAGAAGTACAACCATATGTGATTTTCAAATAGTACAAATATAACACTCAAGACTAACTTGAATAATATTTGTGGTCTAGAAATTAGTAGTAATATATACTTCAGAAAAGTGTGAAAATAATATTTGAATAATATTGTTTTGTAGTAAAAAAACAAAAAAAGCACTTCGCATAAGATGTATTTTATTTTATTTTTTGTAAAAATGATCAGTTAAATGTGACAAATTGGAACTCAATTATCAGGTAACATTCAAATGGACAAATCATGGATAAAGAATGACAATAGGTTGTCTGAAGAATACACGGATGGAGTCCATGATTTCATAAACTTTGCTATGCTTAACTCCGAAAACCGTAGATCACTTAGAAGTCCCTGTAACACGTGTTGCAACATGGACTTTCACAGTCCTGAAAAAGTTAAAGTCCATTTGCTTAAATATGGGTTTCTGAATACGTACCTTGTTTGGAATTGGCACGGAGAGGTTGAAAAACCATCATTTTCTTTTCACTCACAGTCAGCCCTCCATGATCAAAGCCAACTTGAGGACATGTTAGGTAACGTTTTTGAACAATTTGATAGTCACCCAAAGAATTTTAGGGATTTAGTTGAAGATGCCGAAAAGCCATTGTACTCGGGTTCAAGTTATTCGAGGTTATCCGGGTTTATGTTGTTGTATAATATAAAGGGGAAATATGGGTGGTCTGATCAAGGATTCACAGCTTTGTTAGAAGCAATTTCAAACTTATTACCCGCAGAAAACACCATCCCGAAATCTATGTATGAAGCTAAGAAAATATTGAAAGTGTTAGGGCTAGGCTACCAGAAAATACATGCTTGTCGTAATGACTGCATTCTTTTCCATAAAGAGCACGCTGATCTTGACAAGTGCCCAACATGTGGAGAGTCTAGGTGGAAGGAAAAAAAAAACGGAGCTATAACAACTATCAACAAAGTTCCAGAGAAAGTTCTTTGGTATATAAGTAACTTTTTATTGTTCAACCTTTGGTTATAACTATTTTGTAATGTAATTCTGAGTTATGGCTTAGGTTTAAAAAGTGACTGCTTATAATTCTATAAATGGAATGGAAACTTCTGAAACAAAAATAAAGGAACAAATGATAAAAACAAGAGTATAAGTTAAGTTATAACTTAAAATTAACTTGTTATCTAATCTGTTAAGTGAAGTTATAAAAATATAAGTGACTGCTGATTAAATTAGATTTTAAACTAGTTTATCTAATCTAAAGTCTAAACCAAACCAAAACAAGCATAACATGAAAACCACTTCTGACATGGTTAAGTAATTTTGATAAGTAATACCACTGGTAATAAGTAACATATGTGTTTGTTGATGTTATATCATTGATAGGCTGCTGAAGAGGTAGATCAACCAAAACTTACTCCGGTGAAGAGACGTCGTGGTACTGTCCCCAGGAGCTCCCCCCCACACAGCTCCAAGAAGAAGAAGCCCAAGCCAAATGAGAGTGAAGAAGAAGGAGATACAAAAGCAAAGCGAAAGGTATATAAATCCAACGTGTTTTTCAATATTTTTTGTAACACTAATATTATCTAAATATTTAATTAGGGACCTTATACTTTTTCACTTTTAAAAGTATTCACTCTATATGGACTTCTTGAAAAGAAGTCTCTATATTAATATTGTATAGTATCTTGATGTTTTAAATAAATTTTGTAGGAAAATCCTTAGTAGGGAACCAAATAAAATCCTCCAAATCACAATTTTGTATTGGCTGCCCTTCGCCATTGCTAAAATGATGTGCCTTACTCAGTCACTTATGTCATTGTATGCTTACCAGTTTACTCTAACACTTGCATCAGGTTAATTAACATATATATCCTTATTAATTGTGTATATTTATGAAGTTATTAACCTATTAATCTTCTGAATTTTGGTTATTAAGGCAACTGAAGTGCTAGAAGAACAAAAGTTGACTCCCCAGAAAAAACATCTCGCAGCAGTTTCAAGAAGGTCCCCGCGATTCATGCATATGAATAATCTTCCCGAGGAGAATGTAGTTAGAGCAGCTAATAACGCACCATTAAGTGAAGCATCACGAGAAGAGGTTGTGAGTGAACTAGGTGGTACTAAAACAAAGGTATTGTTTAATCATATTCTTTTTTATAATATAATAATCTGAATTTATGTTTTTTTTAAATTAAATCTTAATAATATAATTTAATAACTACTGTGAATGATGAATGATTATTTAATCATCTTAAGTTGAAGGTTGAACCTCCTCACCTCAAGGAAGAAGTCATTCCAGAGAAGTTCATTGAAGTTGAAGGTGGATGTGTTGGAGTTGTTAAAGAACATGCAAGGGCTAAGATGAAGAAGTCAAGGCAACCACCGGCAAGGAAACTAATAATGCAAAGAACTACAAGGTTTGCTGCCGAAAAAAGAAAAGAGCAAAGCAATAGCATGAAGATGTTTTCTATGCTAGTTGACAAATGCCTAGGAGATGGGTACATGGTCGAACATGATGCTGAAATATTCGGGTTTGCAACTAAATCTATTTTCAATAAGGATGTGTGCGGCCTTGTAATCAACTTTGAGTAGGTGAACAATTCTGTTGTAGAAATCTGGTCTAGGTAAGTTTGATTTATAATTTATTTAAGTTATCCATTCTGAAAATTATCATGAGTGGTTAATTTTCTTTTTTCATTTAAGTTAGTTTTGCAGCTCTATATGGATAAAACTCCATGTGATTTTTTTTCATTCAATGTGTAGGCACTTGCATGAGAAGATGCTTCAAGATGGAGGTAATATGCCAGTCCAATTTGGCACGTCTGCTGCAGTACCTGTACCATTGAAATCCTCAGATGTGTCCATTACAAGGAGGTCTCGATATATAGCAGATCTTTTGGCTGTTGGTTTGCTTGGCCAAATCACGCTAATCCCTTATAATACATGGTAATTAAAATGGTTAGAACTTAGAAGTATTACACTAAATCCTTCTCTGCACTGACCAATGATTTGACTTGGAGTACTACTAGTGAAAGTAGAGTTAGTAATCCTGCTGGTTTACATAAAAACACTTGCTGCAAGTGGATGGTCTTTTATTTTTAGTGGTCTACCAGTTTAAAAAAAACTGGTAATGCAAAGTGCAAATTGATTGTGCTCAATCTTTTATGATCTTTTACATTTACTTTTCTGGGGTCATGCAAATTAAAGTGCATAAGCTCATCTGTAAGAAATTGGTTGGTTTGTGTGATTGTGCTCAATTGCTATGGTGATGCATATTCAAATATCATAAGCTTTGTTTAACAATCCCGGAATTGATCTTAAAAAAAGTATTACACTAAATCTTTATTTTGCTACTGATTCGTATCCTTTTATTTCAACCTGGATTTTTTTATAGCAATTGATTAACTTTATAATATAACGTGTAGCAATCATTGGGTGTTAGTAGCTATTGATATTACGGCATGGACAGTGTACTATTTGGACTCAATTGGAGAGAAGCCATCAGAAGATCTGTCACTAATTGTGAACCAGTTAAGTTATTTTTGAGTGTCATAATTGTGGTACTTAATTACATGCATGTATGTAGGCCTTTTGTTGTAATTGTTTCAGTCAGAGCATTGTGTTGAAAAATAAACACTTTTAATTATAAGTCAATGAAAAAAATCATGTACTCATATCTAACTTGTATTTGAATATCAGGGGAGTGAAAATTCATCATGCCTCGGTTTCTAAGAAGAGGTTATCTCTGAATTGGGTAACAGTCATGGTATGTTCTTCATTAAACTAAATTCTATTTGGCATGTTTACATTATGTTGTATAATAATACTAATTTGTACTTGACACTTATCTAGTGCCCTAAGCAAACTGGTTCTATGGAATGTGGATACTTCTTGATGAAGTACATGAGTGACATTGTTTGTGATGTTAATGTCCTGAAAAAGAATGTGAGTTAAACGTGGACTGTTTATATTTATTTTTGTGGAATAACATTAATTGAAGTTTGTATATGTTTGTACTCATTGTATTTTTATACTCTAGTTCTCAACAATAAAGAACTACTCTGAACAAGACATCTTGCAAGTGCGTGAGGAGTGGGCAGCATATGCAACAAAATTGGTCCTAAAGTAAGTTTTTTTTTTCATTTTGATTTATTATTGTTGCTGCCTTAGCTGATTATGAACTCGGTAAAGTAAATCATTTTGTCGCAGAAATGTTAAACTAACACGGTTAGACTAACTGTTAAGTAACAAAAAGAACTTCAAAAGTAAATGCAATGAAAAAGAATGTACATATTGTGCAATTAATTTCTTATACTTCTTGATGAAGTACATATTGTGCAATGTTACTTTACTAACTGAAAAGTAAATGCAATGAGAAGTGGGCAGCATATGCAACAAAAAAGAACTTGAAAAGTAAATCATTTTGAATTACACTGTTAGACGAACTTGAAAAGTAAATCAGTTTGTATCATTTTGAATTACACTGTTGAACTAAATGTGTTGAACTAAATGTGATCCTTTAATTAGTGCAGGAGTTTCTAACATGAATTTATTAGCAAACTTCAATTAGTAGTAGAATACGAGTTTCAATTCTAAGCATTGTAATATTCTATAAAATTGTCATGCATATGTACATATTGTGCAATTAATTTCTTATACTTGTACATACTTTTTGTTTACAGATGCGGTTGATTTTGAATGGTGGTCTGGTGAAGATCAATTCTTGTACTTTTGGTGTGAAGGAATATGTGCAACTGTTTTGCCTGTTACATTGAAAACTTCATGTTGAATTGTAGGTTCATGTTTTGTGGAATGTAAAACTATTATGCAATGCCCCGGTTAATTGTGGCGTCATTTTTGCTTGAAACTGAAAACATGCACCCATTTTGTTGTGGAAGTTGTAACCTAACATGAAGAATTAACAATGATGACTTAACACTATTATTAGATGATATGTATTTAAAGTTGGTTGTGTTTGTTGCATTACATCTTTTAGTGTATTGCTTGAAATATGAATAATTAATTTGTTGTCAAAATAAACATAGAAAGTAACGAAACTAATGTATCATGAATGCAAGATATAGTGCAGTGTCAAAAATGATATGACACCAAACCATCACAAAATATGAATGTGTATGTATGTCACTATATTTGCTGATGTTGGTATATCACTAAAAAATATGATACCATGGTATCACAAAAATTCTTGATATGTATATATCACTAAAAAACATGATGCATTGGTATCACAAAAATCCGTGTTACGTATATATCACAGTTCTCAATGATGTTTATATGTCATAATTTTGTGACACAAAAGTGATTTGTTAACGGTGACACAAAATTTTGTGTCACTTGCCCCGCTTTTCTGTGACACTTTCAGTGTGTCACTAAATCGTTTAGTGACACTAATTTACTGTCACCATAAGCCATTTTTTTACTAGTGTGAGACAATTAATTCCGCATTTTAGAAACTGTGGTTTATATATTTAGTAGCACGTAATAGAAATCTCTAAAACAATAGAACTCGATCTTGCGTGTTATTTAAAATTAAGCTTTTAAACTGACCAAACAACTGATTTTGTCTCAAGCCAAGTGAAAGTAACTATAAAATGACCGACTTAATAAATTTGAAATACTTTATTGTTGTATTTGTAAAAGCCGGAATGAAATTAACCAATTTATTATATATTTATGACTAAAATAAAGATGTGTTACAAAATTATTGTGACTAGTGACTAGAGTAGTAATGTAATTATAGTAAGTAATGTTCAATTTTTAAATTTAAGTTTCCATGACACTACAGTGTGGTAACTATTATTCATATTTGTGTCAAAAAGTTTTATTTTATTAATATTTTTGAATAAAAAACCATTTAACATCGATTAAATCTAACCAATGAACATCTCTAGTTTTTGTGATATTACACGATTGTTGATAAATTGTGATACTACAGGCTCGATTGCTAAAGGTACTCCCATCAAAGAAACTAAGAATGTTATGATTGAGATTTTGTATACAGAAGAGACAAATAAAAAGAGTCACAAACTAAGAATTTTAAAGGGAAAATGTTAAAAAAAATTAGATGACACAAAAGGAAAATTGACAAAGTCTAGTGGTACAGATGGGTATAAAATAATTAGCTCTTACACCCCTCTATAAGATAAAATAGATGTCTTAGTAAATCAACTTTGAGGTATGCTCAATTTACATGTCAGGTGGTCTTCTCTAATTCATAGCTACTCTACATATTCATATTAGCGCAATGAACTGACGCACTTGAAAATAATTTATCACTTCTCCCACAATTATTTATAGTTGTACTAATTAATGACAATAAAAAAGAAGAGTAGATCATTACTCTTGGGTTGAGGGCGAATTATTACTTGAATATATTATTTGAATTTAGCACACTAGTTCTAATCATATGTATCTCATTATTCAACTACTCTAACTGATACTCCCTCTGTCCCTAAAAGAAGTTTCATTTCGCTTATCGATAGTCAACTTAAATCACTCTTAAACTCTTACTTTTTATATCAAAATTTTATAAAAGTTGAATTATTTTTTGCAGGCTTTGTAGCAGGTTTAATGTAGTTTCTGAATATGTAAATTTTATTTACTAAAAATAATCCGAGTTTTCACAGGGATCATTTAACTTTATCGTCGGTCAACCTTCGTAATTCGCAATTGGAACAACATTTAGGGACGGAGGGAGTATATAATGAAGTGTTTGCTTTAAGCAAAAAATTATGTGTACCTAATGGTTACTTTATTTTACTAATGCTGAATTGCAATAGGGTGCATTGGCTTCTGCGGCATCATTCTATTTGATTATTTGGGCAGTTGAAAAGAAGGGACCAACTTATTCCTCCATGTTTGATCCTCTCTTTACTGTTTGTAGCTATCATTGAAGCTATTTTCTTTGGAGAGGATTTCACAATTGGAATGTAAGAATTATGTATCATTTAATATTTCATCCATATTATGATCCATTATTCCATTTATTGTTCTTAGCCCGTGTTAAGATTTAAGATTTCATGCTGAAAGGTCAATTTAATAGGAAAAGTAGTATAGACACTTAATATATCAGTCCATGATTCCACACAGTGTTTTTTATACCGCTCCAGTGTTGGATACATGTTTTAACACGTCCCTTGCCCCAAATCGGCTAGACAATATTGGGGTGTAATAACAGGCTAAACAGACCCTTAAAGAGTTGTCCTTAATCACGAGTGTCAAACAACAATTAAAACACAACGGATCTAGCTCTAATACCATACAAGCTACATAAAGTCACGTGTAGCAACTAATGTAATAACTTTGAAGTAAATGAAGTATAACCTTTTAGGTAAATCCATTCAATAAAAACTACTTAACATTTAATTATTTTTACCAGGAAATAATAATATATACAGATAAATATGTTAGTTATACCCAATGAAGTTAACAAAATGAGAACATTGAGAATATATATTTTCAAGATGATAAACCATGAGATGAGAATATCCACTATTCTAAGCATTAATTTTCAAATACAAACTCGTACCTTCACATAAATATGGTTGTAACAGATTCACAATTGTAATCAATAATATAAAGACGTGATTAGTATTTATATTGATAGTTTCACATATTTTTATGAATATGATAGTTTACTCCTTGGTTCTCATACTTTACTAATGATATTGATGACAAACTCACAAACTAACACATATACAATGGTGCAGCTTGTTAGGAATGATACTTATGATTGCTGGATTGTACTTTTACCTGTGGGAGAAAAAAGGCGAGTTAAGAAGCAATTCAACTATCAATGTCACAATATCAAATGTCAACAACCAAGCCTTGATGATTGAGGATGTTTTTACTTGGATAGTAATTTGCTGGTCTCGTCTATTTAAGTCTGGTTTGTTCGGGTCTGTTAACGTCTGGTCTATGTGTATTTTATAATTACGAAATCAAGTCTGGTCTGGTCAATTTTTTTTAGTCTCTATTTACATTTTTTACCGATCTTAAGAGCGATATCTCCATTGTATTCTATTTAGATAATGGAGATAGCGCTCTTAGGTCTGGTCACTAATAGATAATTGACCAGACGTTGTTTAGCATACAATAGAGAATTAAATTAGCATGCATTGAGAGCTAGTCACTCTCATAAGAGAGAAAAAGTCCTCACACAATTCGTTTGCCACAAAATGCGCCAATAATTCCGCCACAGAATGCGCCAACAATGGTTGTTTAACAATACTTAGTCGCAAATGTTTGCCGTTAAATTGTGACAGAAAATATCTGCCAAGCATTAGTAGCGGAGGTTTATCCGTCTCTAAATTTCATCACAAATTCCCGTAGAATGGCTATTCACCAGTAAATTTCGTCACTAAATTTTGGATTTCTTGTAGTGTTGACTAAAAGAAAAACCAACATAAATTTGAGAGATTAAAACAAGAAAATAATTATGCACGAATGTAAAACAAAATGGTCTATATTATCAGGGACTGGAAACATATTTAAACTTTTAAAATATTTCACCAAACACTAAGTATTCACATGAACATCTAATGTTTCATTATTGTCAAATCCTACCATGAAATATAACTAAGGTCAGTTAGTCCTTTTTGCTACGCTCCAGAATCACTACAGTAAAATATGAAGAAGATTTAAAGGTATAGTTATGTTTATTTGTTAAAAAAAAAACACGAAGCAATCGATAAATTCATTCTTTACAAGAATGAAGTGGAAAATTAACGTAATTGACGAATTAAAACGGTTAGAAGTGATCGAGGTGGTGAGTATGAAGCACCAATTTGTGACTTTTTCGCTAGCGTGGGTATAGTACATGAACGTACTGCACCCTATTCACCTCAATCAAACGGTGTTGCCGAACGAAAGAATCACACATTGAAGGATATGATGAATGCGATGCTAGTAAGTTCGGGCCTGCCAAAAAATATGTGGAGCGAAACAGTCTTGTCAAGAAACTACCTTTTAAATAAGGTACCCCGAAAAATATATGATAAAACTCCCTACGAGTTGTAGAAAGGTAGAAGCCTTCCTATCAATATTTAAAAGTGTGAGGGTGTCTTGCAAAGGTGCTTGTACCAACACCTATGAAAATAAAAATAGATCCAAGAACGGTGGATTGTATTTTTATTGGGTATGCACAAAATAGTTGTGCTTATTGGTTTTTAGTGTACGATTTGAATAATCCGGATGTACATAAAAACACAATAATGGAATCAAGGAATGCATCATTCTTTGAAGACGTATTTCCGTGCAAGTCCAACGAAGAAAAATGAAACTTGACGGTTCAATTGATAAGTACAATACCTGACTTGTAATCAAGGGATACAAGCATACATGAAGGCCATGATTACTTTGACACTCATTCTCCTGTAACGAGAAAAAATTTCATTAGGATGATACTAGCCATTGCCGCATTGCGGAAATTGGAAGTTCATCAAATCGATGTAAATACCACTTTTCTAAATGACGATATAGACGAAGAAATCTATATGGAACAACTGGAAGGATTTCACGTTCCTGGCCAAGAAAGGAAAGTGTGTAAATCAATTAACTCATTTTATGGATTGAAACAAGCCCCTAAGTAGTGGCACAAAAAGTTGGACCATGCGATGTTAATTAATGAGTTTAAAATAAACCAAAGTGACAAATGCATATATGTGAAGAGCACCGTAGATGACTTGTCATTTTGTGTTTATACGTAGATGATGTACTCATCGTTGGTAGCAATAATCTAATGATTAATTCTATCAAAAGCATATTAAATTCTAAATTTGACATGAAAGATATGATGTTGGTCCCTCTTGATATGGGGACCAGACGGTCTTGTGCTAAGCCAATCTCATTACGTTGATAAAATCCTTATTAAGTTCAATAAGGATGATTATCAAGAGGCAAGGACACCATTAGATAAAAACGT